GCACACACAATCAGGAACAATTAGTAACACAACAGGAGATTCTCTTATCAACGCTGTAGGCATATGGCTAGATAATGAACTTTAAAAAAAGCAACCTCAAATTTTCTCAGCAGTTAGTGTATCTAGGGGCCTTCTTCAACACTTCAAGGGTTTCTAGCCCTCAAAATGTATGAACTGCTGGGAACCATGTAAGCCTGCATTCTAGTGATACCCTGTGCTCATTGGCACCTCAGGCAATTTCAGAGGGTGTTTCCCTTACAATGGAAGAAGCAACATTGCAGCCAGTTGATAAGAGTCTCTCATGCAGAAGAGTCCTTGGTGGTGGGTACAGCACAAAACTCTTACACAATCTCAGCCCTTAGGCCTGTTCTCTCACTGTAACCTCAGACTCCAGCTCAGAGGGGTGGAGAGCACTCTGGCAACAGGATACAGGGTAGATGGATCCTCCCAACAGAATGGATAGTTTCAAACATTCTGGACATGAGAAACGTTTAGATTATATTTTTTTCATTAGTTACCATATTTGAGGGAAGCCAATACTTCTTTGTATGGGCAACAAGGCAGAAGTATCCTATATACAGAGAGAAGGGGGGCCCACAGCCATGTCTATTGTCAGGGAAGTGAAACTTATGATGAACCAGCAGAGGAACATAACCTAGAACTCAGGGCAGTTTACCTCCCAGGCAGAAACTTTCCAGATCACAAGTGGATCCTCCATCCTTGTGTCTTCAAACAAATCACAGAATTGTGGGGTTTTCTTCAGCTGAATCTCTGTGTGGATCCCAGCAACCATAAGCTTCCCAGTTTCCTGACTTGCCACCTGCACCCTCTGGCTGAGGGGGTAGATCCATTGGAATGCAATCTGTTCTACGCCTTTCCACATCTCACCCTCAAAATGAAGTTCCTAGTCAAGCTGCTCTTGCAACATATCACAGTAATTGCCATTCTACTACATTTTTCCTGCAGACCATGGTTTTCTCTGACAACTTTCCTCAGCCTCTGATTTCTCTACCAGTTTTTCCAAAGCTACAGTCCTACGCGAAACTCTTTCATCTGAGGCCAGAATGACTTGTCCTTTGAGCATGGAGGTTGAAAGGGAAAGATTGAAATTACTAGGGTGTTCCTCAGCAGCGATAGCAACCTTTTTAAAATCCTACAAACCATTCACAATAATATCTGTTCTTGAATCTTGCCATGACTGATGTTTTGCTCCTTCTAGCCTTATTGCAGCCCAGTTTGCACTTAGGTCTTAGCTTTAGCTTCCTTAAAAAGGGGATCCAGTCATATTTCTGAAAATTAAAAGTCAGCAGTTACAAAAATTAGCTGCTGACGTTTAAAAAAAAAAGACACTCTCACTATCCCAGGATCCAGCTGTGTTCTCACCTGAGCCACCCACTGTGCATGCACGAGCCGTGCTGCGCATTATGAATGGTCCTGCAGTCTTCTGGGACCTGTCACATGTTCCAGAAGACTGCAGAGAGGGAGGTGGAGAGAAGAACCAAAATCAGGTATTCGTTCTCCCCCCCTCAAAAAAAATGTGCCAAATGTTAAAGAGGAGCGGGGGAGGAGGCCTTAAAGTGGAAGTTCTCCTTTTGTAGGTTTTGGCAATTGTCAGCAGTAGGGGAAAAAAATGGGCAGTTAACTCATTAATAGAACAGTTCAAGAAGGCAGTACTAAGATCAGACAGACCTCCCCCCATAACGAATTTCTTTCCTCAATGGGGATTGACTATTGTTCTAGAGGTGCTTTTATGAGAACCCTTTCACACCCAAATAGAATTGTTCATTGTGGAACATCACTCTCAGGACCATTTTCCTGATTGCAATTACTTCAGAGGGAATAGTTTCAAAACTTCTGGCACGGGAAACAAAAGAGACATATATATTACCATTTTCCAAGACAGGATAGTCCTAAGACCCATCCGACAGTTAATTCCCAAAGTGGCATCTCCATACCATCTGTCACATGAATTGATTTTATTAGCTTTCCCTTTGAAACCCTAAGGTTCAGAGTTACATGATCTAGATAGTTTATGATTCCAGAGGTCCTGCGTTCAGGCAACATACTCATTTAAAGGCTCAGAGAGGTTGTTCATGCTTGCTAGTGGCGGAACCAGGGGTAAAGAAGCTACTGGAAGAACCCTATCTTCCTGGATTGTCAGGCTCATTCACAAGGCTTACAGGGCTATTGGACAGGAACCTTCAGCAGTGGTGAGAGCTCCTTCCACCAGGACAATTTCTACATCATGGGTGGCAGAAGTGCGAGTCTCCTCCGGGCAATTTGCAAGGCAGCCAATTGGTCATCTTCTCATGCATTCCTCAAACACTACAGTGTAGATACAGGTGCTTTAATAACTGTAGAATAAAGAAGGTGGACTCTTACATCCTTCATTTTTTGTATCAATAAATAATTCAGCATTACCCTTAGCTCATTATTTATTATCAGTAGTTGCCCTGAAAACTGGAAAATTGTCTGCTTACTGTACATTTCCTTTCCTGGCACCTATCCATGGCAACATACTGTATGTTCCCTCCCCTGGTAATCATATTTTTACAGAGAATGGTGAGGTAAAATATGCATTTACTTGTAAAGATTTAAACTGGTTCTGTAGGTGGAGATAGGGGCGAAGCTCCATCATCAGTATGCTGCTATAGATGCTCATCAGGAAAGGAAAATTAAGGTAAGCACTTAGACAGTTTTCTAGTTTTAAAGCACAGGATTGTATGCCCCCTGGTCATGCCATTTATGCTATTCAGAATTTATTATCTTCATTTTCCTGGCACCTATATCCTGAGGAAGAGCCTAGCAAACAAAGAGTATTGGTATGCCCTCCCCCTGGTAATGCGTTAGGGCCTTTTCACACCAGTGGAGTTTTAAGAATGGTGAGGTGATTTTTTTTTTTAAAATATATTTCTTGTAATGATTTTTCGAGTGCTTACTGGTTCTGTAGGTGGAGACAAAATGCACCAGGTAAGGCGAAGCTCCATCATCAGTATGTGAACAGTATCATGCCCCATGGTCTGCCAAGTATTTATGAAAGGAAAAATATTGCTAAGCCATTAGACAGTGAAACATGAATTCCTAGTTATTGGAAAAATTATTAAAACAGAGCAGTTTTCTAGTTTTAAAAAAACTGCAAATAGACAAATGTCACACAAATTGTATTGCCCCCTGGTTGCCATTTATGCTATAACTTCAGAATTTTTTGGACCATTATCTTCATTTCTCCCACCTCCTTTTATCCTGGTAGGAAGAGCTAGCAACAAAGAGCATTGGTTTTTATGCCCTGTCCTTAACTTTTTGACACTGGGCCCTACAGTGCTTTGGTAATCGTTTCTGATGCCTTACACAGTCAGGCACCAGTGGATTAAACCTCCACAATTTACCGTGGTACTGTGTTTTTTTTTTTAGGGTGCCTTTCCGTTTTCGGTAACACATAAATGATGTGCACCGCAAAGCTTTTTGGTCTCATGTCCACATTTTTCCCAGAGAGGCTTTGCTTACTCAAGTTTCCTGAAACTGTGCTGTTTTTTTCTGAGTCAACATAGATTTAAATGTGACGGATAGTTCGCACTGAAAATGCACCAGGACAGCTTGAATGTCTTTTGGAACATGTTTGGGCTGCTTATTGGACTATTCAATCTTTCATCAATTTTCCTCATCCGTCCACGACCACAATGCCATGGGTTTGCAAACTTCTTGATGACTGTGGACAAAGGCAAATCTAGTTCTCTGGAGATGGACTTGTAACCTTGAGATTGTTGATATTTTGCCACAATTTTGGTGGTCCTCAGACAGTTCTCGTTCCTCTTTCTGTTGTCCATGCTTAGTGTGGCAACAGACAGACACACAATGCAAAGGTTAAGTGAACGTCTCTCCTTTTTATCTGGGTGTGATTTCTATATTGCACACTTTACTTGCCCCAGGTGAAAAGCATCACATGCTTGTAACCAAAAGGGTGCCATGCCAGCAGGTTTGTGTGACATTATGTCGAATTTGCTTTCGTTTTGTCCCAATACACACAAAGGGAATAAACATGTGTTAGCAAAACATAATGCACGTGAGAAATACATGTGAAAATATCAGGGTGCCAACAATTTCGGCCATGACTGTACATAGGGTTTAATGGGGAATCATATTCACTCACTTTTGTTGCCCCGGGAGGGTGTGTTTTAGACACCAGTGTGAAAGGGGCCTTAGGCAGAAGCTCTTTGACCAGACTCTCAGTCCGAATAACAGTGCTCACCAGGACATACACTATATTGTCAAAAGTATTGGGACGCCTGCCTTTACACGCACATGAACTTTAATGGCATCCCAGTCTTAGTCCATAGGCTTCAATATTGAGTTGGCCCACCTTTTGCAACTATAACAGCAAACTCTTCTGGGAAGGCTGTCCACAAGGTTTAGGAGTGTGTCTATGGGAATGTTTGACCATTCTTCCAGAAGCACATTTGTGAGGTCAGGCACTAATGTCAGATAAGAAGGCCTGGTCCGCAGTCTTCACTCTTATTCATTCCAAAGCTGTTCTATCAGGTTGAGGCCAGTCAAGTTCCTCCACCCCAAGCTCACTCATCCATGTCTTTATGGACCTTACTTTGTGCACTGGTGCGCAGTCATGTTGGAACAGGAAGGGACCATCCCCAAACTGTTTCCACAAAGTTGGGAGGATGAAATTGTTCAAAATGTCTTGGTATGCTGACACCTTAGGAGTTCCCTCCAATGGAACTAAGGAGCCAAGCCCAACCCCTGAAAAACAACCCCACACCATAATCTCCCCTCGACCAAATGTAACACTTGGCACAATGCAGTCAGGCAAGTACTGTTCTCCTGGCAACCACCAAACCCAGACACATCCATCAGATTGTCAGGCAGAGAAGTGTGATTCATCACTCCAGAAAACATATCTCCACTGCTTTAGAGTCCAGTGGCGGCATGCTTTACACCACTGCATTCAACTTTGCATTGCACTTGGTGATGTAAGGCTTGGATGCAGCTGCTCAGCCATGCAAACCCATTCCATGAAGCTCTCTATGCACTGTTGTGCTAATCTGAAGGCCACACGAAGTTTGGAGGTCTTTAATTATTGACTCTGCAGACAGTTGGTGACTTCTGCGCACTGTGTGCTTCAGCATGTGCTGACCCCGCTCTGTCATTTTACTTGGACTACCATTTCATGGCTGAGTTGCTGTTGTTCCCAGTTTCTTCCAGCTTGTTATAATACCACTTGCAATTGACTGTGGAATATTTAGTAGCAAGGAAATTTCACGGATGGACTTATTGGTGGCAACCTATCATGGTACCACTAATCTAAATCAATACGGTATCTCAAAGATAAGAAAAATACCTATCCCCTTAAAGCATGTAAGTCTAACTTTCACCCTTGCAAGTGTAATAATAAATGATAATACCTCAAAATGCTCGACCCTATTACCAAATCAAATATACCACACTAAATAAAGTGTAAACTACAAAATAGCAATCAAATAAACAAAGTGTCCAATAAAGTTCCACAGTGATATACTTGTAAGTATGGAAGGCGTTAAATTAATGTTGCAAGTAGCATTTTCAGCATGTCTGTATCAAGGATCATTGCACATAATTTGCTTGATATCGATGGAGCATGGGTGCTATGAGTACCACTGAGCACTCCTACTCAAGGTCCTGATAACAGCTAGGAGCTTTTGTCCATGAGGCTATGAGGACACCATAAAGAATATCTACCCAGGCTGGGAGAGCTCTCCTTGGATGGTGTATACCCTTGGTGATATTAAAGTGTGTTGTCTTTGACATCTGGTAAGGGTATTCAGTCTTTACACTATAGAAGTGTTCACAGTTATTAGCACTTTGGTTTTTTTGGATCACCTGAGTGTTTCACAAGCACGTGTTTCACGTTGAGCTCACGGGTCACATATATGGTCACGTATGAAGTGGCACATATGATGAGTATTATTGTACACTATTGATATAAGGATAATACACTATTTAGTTTTTTCTTTTTTTTGAGGATCACTTTGAAGTTTGGAGTCTTTTGGAAGGTGTCCGTATGGAGACTTGGATTTACATCTTTGAAATTTATTTTCAGTGTGACTTTGATTTTGGACACAAGCATATCACTGTGGAACTTTATTGGACACTGTTTATTTGATCACTATTTTGTAGTTTACACTTTATTTAGTGTAGTATATTTGATTTGGTAATAGGGTTGAGCATTTTGAGGTATTATCATTTATCATGGTACCATGCTTGAATTCACTGAGCTCCTGAGAGCGACCCATTCTTTCACAAATGTTTGTAGAAGCAGTCTGCATGCCTAGGTGCTTGATTGTATACACCTGTGGCCATGGAGGTGATTGGAACACCTGAATCCAATTATTTGGAGGAGTGTACCAATACTTTTGGCAATATAGTGAATCAATCTGGGTGAATGTTCTCAGCTGAGACACAGACATAAATAAACATTCTGACAGAAGGTTCTAATCCTTCCTTTCAAAACAAAGCAAAGAAAAAAAAAAGACTTCATATACATTTAATATAGGCCTTCTTGAAGCTCCACATTGGTTCAGCTAATAAGACTGCATGTAGCATTCTGAAAAAAGTTGGTGATTTTATTGTGAAGGTGATGTGTTTAAAATTCTCCATAATGTCGACCTGTCTGTTAGGGCTAATTTACACTGACTTTGACTTTAACACACATGAAAGCACCTACCACTCCAACATGCTTTTTTGATGTGTTTTTAATGCTTCTGTGATGCTTTTTTGAAGCTTAAATGAAGCGTGGCAAATGCCCTGTGTAAGTTGATTTTTGATTTGTTTTAAAGGGACCCAGTAGAACCCCAGCTCAATAGTACCCCACTCAGCAGATCCTCAGCTTATTAGTACCCCTATTCAGCAGATCTGCAGCTGATTGGTACTCTCGTTCAGCAGATCCCCAGGTTATTATTACCTAAGTTCAGCAAATTCCCTGCTTAGTAGTACCCACAGCTCTGCTGATGCCCCACTCAGTAGTACCTACATCTTTTCTGATCCTCCACTCAGTAGTAACCCCCACCTCTTCTGATCAACCACTTAGCAGTTACCCCAAGCTCTGCTGATCCCCCACTCAGTAGTAATCCTTAGCTCTGCTGATCCTCTGGTTTGTTGATCCTCCTTTCTCTCCTTCCCACTCACCTTCCGCTATGCTATTCCCATGTTTCTCACCACATGTTCTGTCTGCCTCTTGCTCCAGTCCGGACACTGCTTACCTTTCCTGCTGCTCCACGCTGCACACCAGATGTGACGTCTGCACCAGACACTTCCAGAATATATACACATTAACCGGAAGTGACTACTGATGACATCTTTCTGGTTTGCTTGTTGGTTTGCAAGTGCATCCTGGGATATCTCATACCTGCAATACCTACAAAACAAAGCAAAGCTAAAGCTGAATAAAAGCCCCTCAAAAGATTCAGGTGCTGTAAGAAAAGGTTGTAATAGATTTCTGGCTTTGGTGATTCTTTGAAGCACCAAGAAAGCAATATGGGGTATAATTTGTGAAGCAAAGCAAACACAATGTTACATAGTTACATAGTTAGCCTGGCTGAAAAAAAAGACAAAAGTCCATCCAGTTCAACCAAAAAAAAAAAAGGTGTTAATCCTATACCCACAGTTGATCCAGAGGAAGGCAAAAAACCCAGCAAAGCATGATCCAATTTGCTACTGCAGGAGAAAAAATTCCTTCCTGATCCCCCGAGAGGCAATCGGATATTCCCTGGATCAACTTTACCATTAAATGTTAGTATCCAGTTATATTCTGTGTATCCAAGAAAGAATCCAGGCCTTTTTTAAAGCAATCCTGTTTAATCAGGACTGTAAGCGTACCATTTTATTTAATGACAGGTGCTTTAAAAAAGCGTTTCCAATGCTATATTTTGAAGCAAGTGTAAACATGCCCTAAATCAGGCAAAACCATATATGCTACGGGTTTGCAAATATTTGATTGTTCCCTGACCACTTGCTTCTTTTACAAATTGTTAATTTGTTGTTTTCCAATTTTGTCACTAGGGGGCAGTCACAGACCAACATAAAGGGGTTATTTGATACATCCTGGCCAATGAACTACAGGTCCTCCACACTAACTTTTCTTGGAATTAGTGACTGTGCAGCTGTAATGCTTTATACATCCAAATAATTCACGTGGAGTGGAAAGCATCTAATCCCATCTCCCCTGTCTTGCATTGCTGTTTCTTCATATCGCGCCCCCCCCCCCCCCAAATATTTTTCCAGTGTACTCTGCCAATAAGTGTATCTTTTATTTCCTGCCCCACTTTTCTTCTCCTTCTCCATGGCTCATTTTCTGCTGTTATGCAAGTTTCTCTAGATTCTTGTATTACATAAAAGTGGTTTAATGTAGATTTTAACTGTTTCTCTCCAAACTTTTCCGGGTAAAAAAATGTTCAAGTACAAAAGTGGTCAGTTTTTTGTGCTTGTTTGTCTACTACAAAAAAATTAAGTGCTCTTCCACACAAGCGGCCAGAGGGCGGTAAATACAGTTTGAGCCACAATTTTCAGAGCCACTAACTGCTGAGCTAAATTCTACTATGGCAGCCGGACGGGGCTGCACACATGCTGCAATCTCGATGATTAATTGGTTTATGGTCATGGCAGTTTTAATTGAGCATGCAGAGTATGACAGTTGGCACAGCCTGTCAAAGAAGCCCATTAAAGTCAATGAGACTTTGCTGAAACTGTGAAACAAATGCTTCGCTCACGATTGAGGTGTGGTATTTAATACAAAATTCCCCTTGGGATTTAAAAAAAACAAAAACAGATATTCAGGAGGCGGAATGATTGCCTCCCTCCTGAATGACTGGCAGCCGCTGCTTGCTTTTCAGAGGGTGGTAGACACTGCCGCCTATCTGAAAGAGCCCTTAGAATATGTATGCATCTTACACTATGTCTAAATGTCCCTTTGACAGGTTGCGATAGTGTTGAAGGGAAATCCTTGTGGCTGTGCAGCTGATCCTTGAAGCTGCATTACAAGGGTTGTAACTGTTACTGGACCTTGGGGTGCCCAACTCTGACCCTGATCTCAGAATATTTGTCTCCTTCCCCTGTGCAGATGAAAGTGTCATCATCGTATTTGTTTGAAGAGGCTTTCACACTTAGATGTATTACAATAATATATTGTTCAACTTAGTTTCTTGCTCAAAAGAGTATTGCTGTATCTCTACGTGCTTGATCCTTTGTGTTTCAACATTTTTAATATAAGGTTTTTTCAGGAAAAACTATTACATGGCAAAAAAGGACAATGGATAAAAGATGAGCAAGCTATAATCATGTCCAAGTTTTCTGTATCATATGAGATGACAATCATTCTCAACAAGAGCATATTTACCACAAGGCAAACAAGGCATTTGCCTAGGGTGGCATTTTTCAGGGGGGCAGCAGCATTTTTCAGGGGGGCAGCACCGCCTCCTGGAAGAAGGGATGGAAGAAGGGACATGTGCAGCATGGGGACCAGGTGGGATCCGAGAGAGGCTGCGGGCTGCTTGATAGTGTATGCGGAGCCCGACTCTTGTTCCCGGGGATGTCTGGAGCTGTGAAGGTGAGTGTCTTCTCCCTCGCCGGGGTGGGGGGGTGGCTAATGTATGGGGGGTGGTGGTAGTAGAAGGCTGTTTCGGGTGGGGTGGGGGGTGGGGGACTGTGGTGTTGTTGGTCAATGTCAGGCTCTGTTCATGGGCAAGGGGGGTGTTGGTCGGTATCAAGGTCTCTCCGTGTGGGGGAGGGGGAGCCAATTTTTGTGTTGCCCAGGGCAGCATGAAATCTAAATACACCATTTCTCAGTATACTGTAATACAGTATATACACATATGTATGTTTATACATGTAGCTCTTCACCCACAGGAGCCGCTGGTAATATTGGGTCCTCTGCTCTTTCTCTGGCCCTAGCTGGAACCTCACTCATACTGACACCACCAGAATACCTTGGCTGGGAGTCCCCAGCTGTCACACAAAAATGGCACACACTGACCATTAGGAAATAAACAGACTGTATAGGCAGACCAAAGTGGAAGGAGAACACAGCGTATCAGTAGTTCAGTGCCAACACATGAGAAAATAGTGCAATAAAAGTACAATGCGATTAATCCAGGTACCTTAAAGCCCTGGTTCACACTGATGGAAAGTGTCATGCGATTTGACCGTTCAAATTGCTTCCAATGATCAGCAATGGAACTGTTCCATTAGAAAAGTAGCTCCTGCACTACTTTTGATGATTTGGGGGTTCATGGGCAAGATAAAAAATGGGGCCCTAGGCATGAAGAAAAAGTGGATGAAAAGTGGGTGTGATTTTAATTGCGCTAGATATTGGGTGATGACTTGCATGCAGAATGTGGTAATGTTAAATAGGGAAAATACAGTGCAGAGTGTACGGCGGTGGGTAGTATGTTCAGGGAGAGGGGTACAGAGTGTATGGCACCTACCCAATGCTACCCCTATCATAACACAGGACCCCCTTCTCCACACTACCCCTATCATTACACAGGACCCCCTCCCCATACTACCCCCCATTATTACTCAGGACCCCTTTCCCACATCACTACACAGGAACCCCTCCCCCATACTAATCCCATCATTAAACACGGGGGGTCATTGATGAGGGTGGAGAGGTGGGGTGGGGGGTATTTGTTGGAGGTGGAGAGCCTGGGAACCAGGGTTATTGTTGAGGGTGGAAAGGTGGGGAGGGGGGTTATTGCTAAGGGTTGAGGTGGGGAGGGGGGGTTATGGTTGAGGGAGGAGAGGTGGGGAGGGAGGTTATTTTTATGGGTGGATAGATGGGGAAAGGGGGTATTGTTGAGGGTGATGAGGTCAGGAGGGGGATATTGCTTGAGGGTGGAGAGGTGGGTTATTGTTTAGGGTGGAAAGGCAGGGAAGAGGGTTATTGCTGGAGGTGGAGAGGCAGGGTAGGGGATTAGGGGTTATTGTTGAGAGTGGAGAGGCAGGGGGAGTTTATTGTTACAAATACAAAACATGCAGCGCTAGAGTAGAAAGGTCTGTCTTACAATGAAGTGTGACCACCTAGATAGATATAAACGCAGCTAGCATAAAAGTAATGGTCTAAGCAACCAGTACTACAACATTCTCCTGGTTAGAAAGGTGTAAATAGTGACATAGGTGTCAAAGTCAATATATCATTGGAGTGACAAAAATAAATCTGTGACATCTGTGGTAGGAAGTGTGGCTGTAGAATGCACTAACCAGATAGCGCAGATAGTATCGCATTGGAGTAAAATGACCTACTCCTGGTCAATGGATCAGGAAACCTGCCGGAGTGGTGGTCGTCTCT